GGCAAGTGGATCACTTGAAGTCAGGAGTTCTAGACCAGCCTGGCCAACATGGTGAAACCCCATCTCTACTAAAAATAGAAAAATTAGCCAAGCGCGGTGGCTGTAATCCCAGCTACTTGGGGGGCTGAGTCATGAGAATTACTTGAACCAGGGAGGCAGAGGTTGCAGTGAGCCGAGATCGCACCACTGCACTCCAGCCTGTGCGACAGAGTGTGACCCTGTCTCAAAAAAAATTTACTTTTTATGGAGATGGGGTCTTGCTATGTTGCCCAGGCTGGTCTCAAACTCCTGGGCTCAAGCAATCCTCCCACCTCAGCCTCCCAAAGTGGTGGGATTACAGGTGACAGCCACCGTATCTGGCCTATAATTGCTTTTATTTTTATGACAGTGCCACTGTATGGATGTCTGTTCCACTATCTCCAAACTGGAGATAATTTGGCCCCTGCCCTGCCGAGGTCATTTCACAATGTCTGGAGTAATACTGGGTTGGGGTGGGTGCTACTGACATCTCATGGGTGGAGGCCATGGAAGCTGCTCGACATCCTAAAATGCATGGGATGGCCCCTCGCAGCAAAAAATGATCTGGCCCCAAATGTTAGCAGTGCTGAGGCTGAGAAACCCTGGTTTACAGAAAAATGAGGCTGGGTCTGGGCTGGAGCTCTTGCCTTGGGGAATCTGACTTCTAGAGACCCCTGGGGGCACCGGGACACACCCTCCTTCTGCTGCTGACACACCCTCCTCCTGCCGCAGACATCAACGAGTGTGCTCTGGACCCTGAGGTTTGTGCCAATGGCATCTGTGAGAACCTTCGGGGCAGCTACCGCTGCATCTGCAACCTGGGTTATGAAGCAGGTGCCTCAGGCAAGGAGTGCACAGGTAAGCACGCCACCTGGAGGGTGGATGCATGGGCAACCTCCTCCACTGCAGACCCCTCACCCCTCTCTCCCACCCCCACCCCACAGACGTGGATGAGTGTGCCCTCAACAGCCTCCTGTGTGACAACGGGTGGTGCCAGAATAGCCCTGGCAGCTACAGCTGCTCCTGCCCCCCCGGCTTCCACTTCTGGCAGGACACGGAGATCTGCAAAGGTACAGGGTCCCGGGCTCACGTGGGTTCGCGCACACACACACACACACATGCCCCGACATACTCTGTGTGTAGCGTGTGCACACAGAGGCATGCACACACTCAAAGATGCTTACATGTTACCTCTATTCATACACACATGCATGCTATATGTAGTGTACACACACACACATATATGCACACGTTCAGATTACTCACACATGTTGCATGAGGTGTATACACAAGACACATATGCACACACTCAGAAACATCCTGCACACAGCCACACTCAGACATGCACGTTGCATGTGTCATGCATACATAAACCCAGACACACTGCACATGCTGTGTACATGCAGACACATACATTCAGACATGCTGTGTGC